AACGATATGAGCCGGTGCTGTCACTTGAGCCACAATTAGCGTATTCATGACCACGTGTGTTTTGTTTGAAACATTCTTCATCAGCAACGCGGGCACCTAAAATTTCAAATTCAAAACCTGTAGAGATTCATATATTTTGTGAAACATTTTACGATAGCATGCATGTCTTTTGATTGTAAACGAATTCTTTCTATAATGCAAAGCAGAGTAAGATTTTTGGGGATGAAGTACTTTTACATAATCGCTCTAATCATTTGTGAAGAGTATGAAAATGGATGTTTACCAATAATCTCAATCTTATTAGAATCACGCCTCTGAATCTCAAAGAATGAACAGCTATCATATTTTACGTACACATCCACCTAATAAGAGCCATATTTGAGATTATTTTGGTACAGCACAAGATTTTCATTGTTAAAGTTGGGCTGCACTTTACTTCAAATTTAAAACATGAACAGCCTAAGAGAGAAATTTGATGAACAAATCATGAGGTTATGATCCAAAAGGGATGGGTACGAAACCAGGAAAAACTTTTAAGCTCCAAAGAAATAACTTTTCAAAACGTCAAAAGGTATTATTTATCTTTCAACTGATATCTGTAAAAAAAATATTAAGATCAAATCAGCTGGTCTCTCATGGCCATATTGTTGAAAGCCTTCACATCAGCTCTAGTCCATGTAAAAGATTGAAAGCAAATTGATCTTCGAGTTGCTTTCTTCAAAATTCCAATTTCAAAAAAGACATTATCATTAGAATATAGTTAGCTTTGATTTCTTATGTTTATGCGTGTTAGAAAAGTAGTTTGAACCTTCCTCAAGTACTTAACCAGAAATGCGCACAAGGAAATCATGAATTACAAAAAAAGTCCTGACCATCTTTGCGTTCTTTATGTCGTATACTTTTCAATGTGTGATTTGAATAAAAAAGCATAAAATGATTAAGCTGTCACCTTCTCCCCATATCATTTGACACTGGTTATGTGGATCACTACAGTTGCCTCGCCAACATTGTCCATCGCGACCGCAAGCCGTTCCATCAACCAGATGTCCATCTGGAGGACAATCTCCAGATTTGCCATCACAAGTCTCAGCGACATCGCAAGATGAGCGAGCGTTGCGACATATTTCACCTGCCTTTCGCAGCTGAAATAATACTTTTATAGGTAAAGTCTAAATTTGCACCAATATTCCAATTCAGCCTTACCTCACACCGATGGCAGCATTGGTGATGAGCAGCACATTGAGCATGAGCTCGCAAAGTGCATGTTAATGGATCACAGCAGGGGTCAGTGCATGTCTCGCGAGTTCCACAGTCACATTCTTCGGATCCGTCCACAACGCCATTCCCGCATTCGCGAAGTTGTGATGGTTGAAATGGTTTGTTCAAAAGGCATTGAACATGCCCAGACTGCC